AAAAAAGCTCAAAAACAGTTAAATCATATTTCACTTTTTCTTTTCCCGGAGAACAAACGCAAAGCAGCTTGCCTCGTGCGACCACGACGAGCTCAATTACCTCGATGTTACTCGCTTGCTAGAGTGGCGACATCTTTTGGGAGCGCAAGTACCGCCTTTTCCTGGCCGCGGCCGCCATTTCGCCTCCTGACCGGCGCCGAAAACGAACGCAGACTTGACGGACCACGTGACGTTGCGTGCTCTTCGAGTCACCTCGCGTTACTTCAAGAGTGCCCACGCTCAACAACTCATAAACGGCCGCATAGAGCGAGAGGCAAGATGGCGGCTCCGCTAGCAGACGACGGAGCCGTCCTCACTCCGAAAGGGCCGTCAGTCCAACAACATCGAGCAACCCACACCGAGCAGTCGCAGCACGCCGGAAGCATCTCCACTTCCGTTCACTGCCGCGTGCACTTCACTTCGTGCACAGACCCGCAAACGCCGCTTTTGTCCCTCGTACAAAAGTAGAATTTGTGGATGCACGGCTGTTTCGAAGGCGGGCCGAGGTTATAACCTCGAGCAGAGGGAGACACTCAACTGCAGAGCGACCCCGTGCTACCGGTGAAGCGACTTCGAGCAACGCATCACGAACAAACCACAGCATGGCACAGGTTCGAATCGCTCAGCCTTTACCGCGCAAAGGAAAGCCCCGATGCACCACATCTGCTTCCTTTACATTGAGCCATTCGATTTCGCAGAACCCTACAAAAGGGGGTCAACTACCTGTCCTAGAAATATCAGTGAACAAGGGAAAAAAAAATATATCGTGACCTCCGCTACTGTTTTGAGAGACGAAAAAAAAAAAAAAAAAGGTTTTCCACACACACACACGAAAAGAAAAACAAAAATTGCGCAACTCCACCGATCTGAGAGCGAAAAAATAAACAAATGTACGAACTACGGGTTACTAATAATGCGCAACAACGGATTCATCACCTCGAGTTTTTTCGATTAATCCCATCTCTTTGTTTCGAATACTCGCACACGCACGATCGCATCTGTGAAACTGTGCTCTATTCAGCCAACACATGCGCACGCTTCCTCTCCCAATCACCTTCGCTTTTTCTTTCCTTTTCTTTCTCTTTTTTGTTTGTCTCTAGAAACAACGCAGCATTCTTTGAAGGCAACTCCCCCCCACAGCGTGACCACGAAGATGCCACAGCTGCTACGGCTTCGCAATTCGAGCGCACAGACCTATTCCGGTGTTCCACAAGGAAATTCGTCAACGCGCCCCGCGGTGCGGGCACGCGAGATGCCAAAACGATCGCATCATTAACGCATTGTTCTTTTGTTTTGCTTTTTACAACAATTTTTTTTTTTAAATAAGAAAAGGCGGCGCCTTTAGTGCGACGCTTACAATCACGTGATCAAGACGTATGGTAAATGAAAGAATAACCGCAATTTTCAAACCCGCCGCCAGCCAGAACGCGATTTGGGCATGTGAGAAAATAGCGGTTCGGATCCAACAGCGCTGCCTCATTTGTAGCCTTCACACTGCAAGGCAAATCCAAGACGACCGGTTCGCTTTAGTGTCGAAGCTAGGGTTCATACGCCGCGCGATTGTAGTTCTTACACGATTCGCTTGTCGGAGGAAGAAGGATGCTTTTTGGCGTTTGAAACGCCTTGATAAGAGAGCAAATATATCTAATCTGAAATGCCCCTACGTGTATCCTAATCTGACATGCACATACGGGATATCACGAGACATTCGAAAGCTTTGTGCCGCATTGTCAACACGGCGATTACCGCCGCTTTCAGTGAAAAACCGAGACAAGTCGGCAAGATGTTTATCAACTCAAAAAGGCCGGTCAGTTGGCAAAGTCACTTCTCTCGAACAACAACACAGGCTACGGGAAAGCTTCCTCTGACGAGCGTTGAGTGGCGCGATGAGTGGGAGAGACCGTCGCTCCATCGTTCGTGCTTCTTTGTTTTGTTCGGGACTGCACTCGCTCCACGATATCGCATCAATTAATGTTGCGTCATCCCCGTGTCAAGAGCGGGCCTAGTGCAAACAACAGATAAGTATTTTATATACACATTTTGCGCCGAAAAAGCTACGAAGCTGAGCTCTCTTATTTCAACCTGCGCTTGGATTCCGTGTCGCCTTCAATACACAGTTTTCCATCGCTCATCAAGCAGGCAAAAAATGCCGAGTCACTAGGCTGTGCATGCCCAGAACGCAGTTCAGCAGCCGAGGATGCCAGCGCGCAGAGGGAGATTACTGGAATGATCGCTACCATCTTCCAGTTCGACTCGATCGTCACTTGGAGCGGAAAGGTACTACATAAGCTCCCTAAGGCCGACAGGACAGTAGAAATACTGGGACTACGAAAGATGCTGCGGCCCGCGAACTCGCCGTCGGGGCCCCTCGCATCGCGCACAATGCAATTACGCCGCACGAACCCGGTTAACGAACGCGGCACGATATCCATCGACCTTCTTTCGAAGCGACGACGCGCCGAGCGAGTGCCGCCGAGCAGACATCATGGCGGCCCGCTCGATGCAGACGAAAGACCCAGGCACCGACGAATCCGGTCCTGGGAAGCGAGACAACAACAGCACCGAGCCGTTCGCCACCTCGATATATTTTTTTTCTTCTTTATCCTTCGCTCCTGTTGTTGCTTCGACTGCTCACCAGCGCGATGACGACGGTATTTGAGCACAACGACCGAGCGCTTCATGCGTTTTTCTCTTAACGCGTTCGCAGGCAGAAAAAGACGCGTGCGTTACTTCGACCGTCCTAAGCGCGTCGACGGAAACGCGTGACTGGCTTCCGTCTGAATGGGTCCCGTAATGAGCGAAACGCGCCATCGTCCGCTACGACAACAGCGACGCAAATGGACGCCGGGCACCACTTCCGTCGCGTTTTTACCACAGCGTCCCGAGATCGTCGCCAATGCTAATGACGGCACGCGAAGTTTCGAGGCAACCTTCGAATGGGCCGGCCCAACATTTGCGCAGCGGTGGTTTCCGTCTTATCGAAAAGCCTCGCGGAACGACCTTTCGCCTCGGCGCCCGCCCGCTGCTCTCGACTCGCCAGATAAAGAAACCGACGCGAAAAGTCACGCCAGCTTCTCACCCGAGCTCTCTTACTGCGTCTCGGGTTTGGGAGCGACTGAAGCATCCCGAACGATCGCACAGCAGCAGCCCCCGGGCGTGCATGTAACGCTACCGCGCAAAGAACAAGGTACACCCTGCCTGAAGACCCCAAAACATGTACTGCGAGACCTTGAAATTCGCTTTGTCGAGAAACGACATTTCTTCCCGAACAGCAGTTTTCGGCGTCGGGAGCCAGAAAATGGCTTCTAAAAACAGTCGCGGGCCAGCCCTAACTCCGTAGAAACATACGCGATTTTTTTTTCTTTTTAATCTATTTTAAATTGTTTTTTTAAAAAAAGGCAAGAAGTGTATATTGTTTACGACGTGCCCAAGTTCTTCAGTCACTAGTCGAGAAGGGAAAAATAATAAGAGGCACCCGCCGAATCCCAATAAATACGCCACGTTCTCATCCACCCAGGGTCACGTCTCCGTAGAAATGGCTCGTTCGCGACGCCTCATTTCGTTCCTCCAGATCCTAGACGGTTTCCGAGAACTACCACCGGGGGGGGGGGGGGGGGGGGGGGGGGGGGGGAATATAATGCACAAGGAGCGGAAGCACCCCCCCCCCCCCCCCCCTCCAAAAAAAAAAAAAAAAAGTAACTAAATAAAATTTCTTCAAAAGAGAGCCATAAACAGATGAGACGATCCTTCCACAATTGCCTTCCTCCTCCCTCTCCTCCGCGCAAAACACCTTTAAAAAAAGAAAAACAAAAAGGCGGGAAGAAGCAGCGCGAAAATTTCTCCGGGGGCGCACAAGCGAACCGGGCAGGAAAGAGGGCGCAGAACAAAAGCACCAAAGAGGAGAGAAAAGAAAAAAGGAAGCAGGGCCGTCGGGGGACCGTATACCAAAGCGAGCTGGGCGGAAAGCCGCTGCGACCCCGTAGCGCTTGCCGCCTCGCGCGCTCCGCCGGCGCCCCCGTCGACCAGAAAACCGCCAAAAAGTCTGCGCTGGATTTCTGGGGACACGTCCGATAACCACAGCCCTGGCTCTGCACGCAGAACCATGCGTGCCTCGCCACACGAAGGGGCACTTTAGCCATCACCTCGCCCCAATCTTGGTTCACTGATCGGTTGAGAGAACGGGCTGAAATGGCCGCGCACCACGTGAACGAAGCGCCCGAGCCTTTGCAAACCGGGCACAAACGCACACACCGTGGCACATTCGATCGCGAGTACGCGACGCCGCACGAAACAACAACGCCAGCATGCAAGGGGTGCACTGCGGCTCTTATGCTGGGCCCCTCACGGGGCGGAAACAATCGGCTTTTCTGAAGGACGGAACGTCTCGGCGGCCGTAGAGCCGTCGAGAAACCGGAGACTGGTTTCGAATCCCGCAGATACTGCGAGAATCGAAGCGCAGCTCTTCGTTTTGTCGAAGGCTCCGCGTGTGGGTCCCAAGGGTCGGCGACATCCAGCGAACAAAACAAAAGAAAAAAAACAAATCCGACAACAAACAACACGAGCAGTTTACCACAACAACACACTCGTGGCACTAAATAAACACCGCGCGATCGCCCGGCACGCCTAAAACAACGCAAAGGGAACCAAAAGTGACAGTCCCGAGCGAGCAACAGCGATCAGCCCGCGAACGCGTCGCCTCGGCGCCCGAGCAGCCGTCCCGCCAACGGCGGGCTGCGTGCAGGCCCTCGTGGCGAGGTCGCCGGGCGTCCGATCCCCCCATCCCACACACCCTGGCACAACCGGAGCCCGCACAAGCCGGCGTAATCCAAGCAGCACACACCCCGGCCCGAGCCCGCAAGCCCGGGCCGACACACTGGACGGCGGGCCGTCGCTGACGCGACGAGCACGGTCGCCCCGCCGGAGCGGCCGCCGCCGCCAAGTTTTTAAGCAGCATCACGTACCGTTTGAAGTGCTCCCGTATCCGTTCTTCTCGAATGTTATCCGGTAAATTTCCGACCCAAAGGTGTCTAGTCTCTCTAACCATCTTGCATTGCTGGCCACATCAGGACATCATTTCGCTGGACACACAGCCCCATCAAACATATATCATACACCGTGTGTTTTCTTCGCGGCCCACACTACACGCACGGACTTCTCCGCCGCGAAAAAAGTGACGTCACCTGATCTCGCAGACTCGCGCGAGAGCCGGCGAGAGTTGGCCCAAGGACCGCCCCTCGCAGCCACGGAAACCCTCTTTTTTCCACGATGTTCGCCGATGGGCGGAGTCAGGAGCGGGTCACGCGGCACATGACGTGTTCGCAAAGCTCGTTCGCTATCCTGCGCCTGCCTTCGTCCGCCGGTCCTCGCTCCCGCTCCGCCATCGCCGAGAGGTTTGCCGCGCTGTCGCTTGCATTTTTGTGCTCGCCGGGCCGGCGCGTAAATATCGACCTCTGAAATCATGAGATACGGTGTCCCACGCGCACTGAAAACATCTCCTGGAATGTCCTCGGTTTCTCGAGTCTATGCATTACTAGTTGACGTTTTAACGCGACACCGCTCGCTTCAACCCTGGCGGTCCACGCCGTTCACACCTGGCCATCGCTGAGAACAGGCTCGTGCCAGTGTTCTGATTGCGGATTGGCCGAGACCACGCAAGAAAGATTAGCTTATAAAAGCGAGAAAACCAGAGTTCGTTGGAAGCAAGTAACAGGAAGTAAACAACACCAGTGCCCATAGTTAACGTCGCTTTGCGACGCCATCGTTTGTCATTTTGTAACTCAACAAATATTAGCATGCTTCGAATACACACCCACCAACGACACATGGCCTAATTCCAAAGAGATTCTACCACACGATAAGCTCGAAGGAGCATTTCTTCCCTTTGAAGAAGACCGTGTTGTTCGTCTACATCACACTAATGCTACTTGTACGCTTTCAGGAGACGTACGCGCTTGGAAAGGAAATGATGCTCCGTGGGAACTGCGCAAAATGCCTCGAAATCCCTAGCATTTTCTAATGTCCCGTCGTCAAACACGACATTCAGTCCTACGCCTGCAAGCTGCGGTGGAAGACGCGCGGCGCGGCCAAGGAAAAAACATACATACGGATCTACGGGCGTAAATGACAGAACTAAAGGAAAAGAAGACGCAAAGAAAACGGAAAACCGCCTTCTCGGTGACGCCATTTGCCACGTGACTTAACCTAGTCCCCGCCCATCGAGCAACTTCGTGAAAACATGTTAGAGCGGTTCGACGGGGAGGGAGAGGCCGGGAGGCCAAGATGGCCGTACTTTCACGGACGTGGCAAATTTTCTTCCGATTGCCTCGAAGGCGAAAAACGAGCTTTCAACGTCTTTTAGAACTCGCAGACACCCAAAAAAGAATGCTAGTACTTCCGAAAATGACGTCCACCGACCACTTACCTCTTTTTTTTTGCTCAAAGCATTCGTACCAGACACTCCGGAGCCGAGTAAAAGCGACTTCGAGCATTACGATAAACGCTTTCCGTCTGCAAGTGCACGAACTCCGGAGACTTTCGACGAGAGCAAGACGCACAGGTTAGCCCGATGGACATCTTTATAAGCGAAAATCGTACACAGGGGCACATGGTTAGGCACGGGGCTGAATCCATCGCGCGGCGCTCGTTCGCGAAGGCACAGTTGGCACGAGACAGTTGAAGAAACTGAAAATACTCCCTGACGGTGGTCGACGGCCGGCGTGACCGTGGCGCGACTCGACATATCCCAGGGGCGAAGCACGACCGTCGACGAATAATCCGCCATAAACGCAAGCCACCAAAAATATCCCCGCGGCGTCGATAATACTCCGGTCGTGGGTCTGGGCTTCTCTCGTTACCATAATCCATACTCGGGTGCCGGGGCGCAGTCGCTGAATCGAAACAAAAAATGGAAATCCCGGCGGCAGTCCGTTTTTTCGAGAGGGCCAAGATGGCGGCCCTAAGATGGCGACAATCCTACGGGCGCCAGCGCAAATCCAAGCTGGGGCGGGCACACCGGCAACGCTGTGGAACAAATAATCCGTCGTGATTCGCTTTTCTTTTAATGGTTACAAGCACAAATAATCCGTCGCTCCTGGTCGCGCGAAGAAGGCAGGCACGCGGCTCCGGGCGCACCACCGCTCTTTGTAATAAGAACACCCAAGATTCTTTCACCTTCTTCGAACACAAAGAGCGTTCCGCGAACGTCACCAGCAGCCGTTCAGTCGGGTTATGCGCCTGCGCACTGCGCACGTCTCTCCGGTCTCGCCACTTCGGGAAAGGAGATTGGAGTCGCAGCGCCCTCTCTTTTCGCCGTCGAGAAACGCAGCCCCGCGCTCCTCGCCGCCTCTGCATTCTGGGTCATCGCTGGGGCGACGGGGAAGCCAGCCCTGCCAGCCAAGGCAAACGCCACATGCGGAAAATTGAGGACGCGAGAGTGCCGGCACAAATGCCTGCGAAAAGAAAGAAACACAGAAAAACGCCAAGATCATTCGCGCTTTCTCAGTTCCTTGTTTTAGGTTGGGTGACAACAAATAACGTTTGATTTTATTTTATTTAAAACATTGGAATATATTGATTGAGTTTCAGATTAATAATTAAATAATGCTCGTTTGCGGTTACGTAATTTATATAGGTTATTCGGCTAGATTTAAACTAGGAGCTCGGTACCACCAGGCGAAATTCCTAACCTTTAAAAAAAAAAAAGAATCTAACCCTGAGCCACTGAATGAGGAAACTGTTTATTACGTCACCGGGAAAACGCAACGTGATCTTGATTATAACAAACGCTTAAATAAGTAAAACAACCTCGGAAAAAAAAAAAAAGAGATAATTTTTTTTTTTTTTTCTTTCTTGGCGGCAGATTTTTCTAACGTGTGAACTGAAAGCCACTCAAACGCAAAGGGCTATACTGTTCAGCAAAACGTTCTTCAATGAAGAACTACGGAATTCAACAAAACGTGCCTTGTTGTTCCTAAAATTTCTTGAACTCCTCAACACCGACTCGTCTAAGTTGAAATTGTCGAACTCTTTCTAACAAAAAGTTGGCCAAGAGAGTGGTGCGAGACGCGGTCCCGCAGCCTCTTTCTGCCCCTTTGGGCAATTCTTGTGTTTGAATTGCCTCGAAACTTGACCGAAGCCAAGAAAAAGAAATATCACCTTGTATATATATATATATATATATATATATATATATATATATATATATATATATATATATATATATATATATATATATATATATATATATATAAGGTTGTGTTGGTTATTGTGATAAACCTGAGGAACACAGAATGAGGTCGTGCACGTAGTGTGTGTGCGTTATGATTTATTTTTATTATGATAGTCGAAGGAATGCTCTGGATGGTTTTGAACCCGTTGCTTTCACGACAGATCTCTGTAATTACCGGGTTTATCAGAATGATCGAGACAAGTTCAAAACTATTCAGAATTTCTCACGTCTAACGCGTAACCCAGGCCAAAAGCCAATTAGAAGCAATTATTTTTCCTTTTTTGTGATTGGGAGGAGTGCGATATCTTTATTTGGTATGAACGGGAATCGTTAAAAATTAACCGGTGACCGATATATCAAATCGGTTCGGCAACCTTTTTACGAATAATAAATTGAAAAATCAGGCGTAATCTTCAACAGCACTCAGCGAGGGCAAGTGGTACTTGCCGCCCATAATAATGTCAAGCGAAAGGTATATATTGAAATGCCAGATTAATCGGTAATTCAACTTCAAAAAATTTAAAGATGCGTTTTTTTTCGTTTTTGTTTTTTGCTTGTTTTGGTTGCAGTTTTATCCAGAGTATAAACTTCTGAGTCATAATCCTGAGATTGAGATATTAAGGGCTGGTTGCACCAACGTCGCTTATCTTAACCCAAAGCGGCGCTTTCCTAAGCCGGCTTAGCGCCCTAAACCGAGCTTAGGTAAGCACGGGTTTAAATTCCGGTTGCACCAACGTTAAGCCGGCTTTACAGACGCGCCCCTAGCTAAACGCTGGATTTGCGTAGGGAATCTAGGGACAAACAGAGCAAACTCGGGAACGCTCAGAGCGACGAATACGATTGGCGGAGAGAAATCACGTGATGTAAAAAAAAAAAAAAACTGTTGTAGTAGTCGTTTTTGGCGTCTGCTTTTCGCTGTATTTCTTCGGTGAGTAACAAATTAAAGGTCTCCAAATTCAATCATTTTTTTGTTTAACTTTCAATAACAGAAGTCAAAGCTTCAAATAAACACGAATGCTCTTTACATCTGTGATTGTGTTTAATATCGGTTGATAACAGGATATTTTGACAGTGGTAGTAGTTTTCGTGCTCACATTTTGAGGTGAAGGAGCCATCGGGGGCCCCAAATCTCACCGAACGCGGGAAGGACACTCTACTCGCTACATCGCTGAAGACAAAACATCATGGATATAAGTAGGCAGGTAAGATGTCTACTAAAACCAAGTCAAGCCTGAGACCGACGAAGTTCAAAACAGTGACGAACTCGCCACGGCAGCTGCGAAAATGCCCGGAAATCGTCGAATAGAAGTCGTCGAGAGGTCAGGTCACGAGACCTTGCATCGACGGTACTCGTTGCTATCAGCAAGGCGACAGAACTGCACTGTACCGTCGTTGAACATCCGCTGCAGCCTCAAACGGACTTCAGTTTCACACTGTCGAGTTCAGAAAAAAAAAAAAAAACTCCCACTAGTACATCACATCGTGCCGATAAGAACGGTCGTCTCCTCGCATCACCTGCCCCAGCCTGCCCCGATACAGCAATGAACGAATCTAACATAGTAGTCGTTACGATTTGTCGTCGCCACGAATGAAAGATATAAAGCAAAATATTCCTAAAAAATCGCGATCACCAAAAAAGTTACGGAGGACACAACAAGGCGCAACTTTCAACTGAATTTTATTGAAAACGTGTTCCGGTATATAGTCTCAACCATCGTCACAATGACAACAAACGACAAAAGTAAAGGGAAAACACCATCACAGAGCACAACTCGGAAACAACAGTATCTCGTTCTCGGGAAACGAATGAAAGATATAAAGCAAAGTATATAAAAAAAAAATGCGATCACCAAAAAAGTTACAGTTATGGAACGATACAGTTTTCTGAAGCCAAGATTCTACTCGCGAGATAAGGAAAATTCACTGAAGATTGTCTCAAAACTCAGAAAACGAAAGAAATTGAATTTCGCTGTTTTATTACTTAAAAGCGCCGCAATCTAATGCAAACGGCAGAGGTGTCGACAATCAGCTGATCGCCGAGATCATGTACTGCCACTATTCAACGCGCTGATCAGATTGAAGGATACGCGCTGCAAGTGTAAATAAACAAGGTGGTAAATAACAATACGTTACAGCTATGCGAAAATTAGTAAGTACATACGAATAAGCTCGTTGACAGAAGAACCAACGGGAATACAGACGTGAGCCCCACAGCTCCGTACGTTTCTCGGTTAGGGCTAACACGCCCTGAAAGTGGAGAGCCAACTTGAAAACAGGGGTCGATAAACACTTCACGCGACAATATTTTGCATCCTTGTCACAATCAAAAGTCATTTTGTCGAGACTTTCACGCTGATGTAGCCTAAAACACTTTGCACAACCAATTTCGTCCACCGCGTCGACCGTGACAAACCAGCCGCCATGTTTTTAATCCAGGATTAAGAAACAACCAGAAGCAAAGCGCCCAATGTTGGGCGCTTAAGTTAAGCGTAGTTTAGTGCTAGGTTTAGCGATAAGCGAGTTTGGTGCAACCGAACGAAACCGAAACTAAGCTTAAGTTCCCGGCTAAGCTCCGCTTTGCGTTAAGCGACGTTGGTGCAACCGGCCCTAAGAAAACTTTGTCCTCCCAACTGTCAACGTTCTCGACGCAAAGCATAAGAAGAATCGTGATAAATTAACCTTTTGCGGGTTTGATGGACAATAAAAAATAGCATTCCATCTAACTCTAACAAAAATAACAACATTACGGCCCTTTAAAAAAAAAAAAAAAAAAAAAAAAACAGTGATACAGTATATAAATAGTTCGTAGTTACTTTATAAAGACACGTCGACTAAGCCGTTTTTCAATTGTTGGAGAATGTCGCGTGCATACGCAAATGTCACCGATGAAAGGGAGTCGGCAGATACCGGGAAGCTCCTGGGTGTTACTTGGAACGCTTGGAACTGGTGTACTTGGCGACAGCCTTGGTGCCCTCGGACACCGCATGCTTTGCCAGTTCACCCGGCAGCACGAGCCTCACAGCTGACTGGATCTCCCGACTCGTGATGGTCGAGCGCTTGTTGTAGTGAGCCAGCCGAGAAGACTCTGATGCGATGCGCTCGAAGATGTCGTTCACGAAGCTGTTCATGACCGACATGCCCTTTCTGGACACTTCGGTGTCGGGGTGGACCTGTTTGAGCACCTTGTAGATGTAGATGTTGAAGCTCTCCTTACTCTTGCGCCTGCTCTTCTCCTTCTTGTCGGTGGCACGCACATTTTTCTGTGCCTCGCCCGCCTTCTTCGCTGCTTTCCCCGCTCGGTTGGGGGGGCATCCTCGCGGGACTTGTCTTCGACAGAAGATCGACGTTGACGCTGGCAAAAAAAAGATGGCCAAACAACAACTGGGGCAGCCTGATACTTGGACTGGTTGGTGCGACTAGGATAATTTGAAAGGACAGGAGCGAGCGCAAGTCGCAACGAGCGAAGAAAGTAGTAGTAGTAGTAGTGGCTCGTTGAGGCTTTACGTCGCCTAGGATGGCCTAAGCGCGAAGAAACGAATCGGTCTGCGCATATACTCTCAGTGGCAGCCAATCGGGACGCTTTATTACCGCGCGCGCATTTTCTTTGTTTTCCCGCGCTCTCTCGTCACTCTCCTTCTTGTTTGTTGACGGCGGAAGCAACGTCTTTTTTTTGTCGTCGAAAAGGACAAAAAACTCGCTGTAAAAGTGACGGCCACTTTTTGCAGTGTGGGCTGAGGAACGTCTTCTGAGCATGCGCTGCTGCTCTGCTGTACGGTATATCTGATGCTGCACGCGCGTCCACAGCTCAGTGACTCAGCATATTTCGCCCGGGTGATAAGCGACGGTAAGGTCTAGAGACCGTTTTATCGTGGGTATAGCGCCATTTTGATTACTGTAGCGCATGCAGAGCCGGATTAAGGAATTTCGGGGGCCTGGGCTAAATCAGTTCATGAGGACCTTAATGATGAGGATATTATTGACTACGATGACGATGGTGGCGGTAGTGGTAACAACAATGAGGACAGTATGTCGTCATTGTTATTTACTTATAAAATACGAACATTGTTTATTTTGTGATACGTCCGAAAAGGTTTCTATATCGGTGGATTCGTTGATTAGGAAGTTCGGGTTTCCCTGGGTGGAAATGAAGCAGATGCAATTGGAGATTAGAGGCTGTTTCGGAAATAGTCAATCACTCACTAAGAGCACAAAGAAAAGGACGATTGTGAAAAACGTAAAAAAAAAGTGCCGTGCACCGTTAAGCAGCTCCATGGAGCCTCGTAAGCTTCCGTTGAAATGTTGGAATTGATGACTCCACGTTCCCATTAAATTGTTTAACATAAGGTTACTTGATACTTCGTTTACAAATGACGACAACCAATACAAATGACAAAGCACATTCCGCTGGAACAAAATGGCGGCATTCAGTTCAAACCTCTGCTGTGCGCACCCATTCGCTTC